TTCACCCACCCCCTCCGGATAATTGGAGACCCTTCACCAACCCCCTCCGTATAAGGGAAGACCCCTCACCACCCCTCTCCGTATAAGGGGAGACCCTTCACCAGCCCCCTCCATATAAGGGAAGACCCCTCACCAGCCCCCTCCATATAATGGGAGACCCTTCACCAGCCCCCTCCGTATAAGGGGAGACCCTTCACCAGCCCCCTCTGTATGATGAGAGACCCCACCTTGAGTAATGGGCTGGTCTTCACACTGGTCTGCATCCCGGCCGTACTGCCAACATGCTTCTTCTCTGCGCTGGCCTGAAACATGGAATGACATTAAAAGTTCATCATATACAAACTCCACTCCATTCCCGCGCCCCCGACAGCCCAATTTTGGGATTTTCTCCCCAGTGGTGACACACACACAGCATTCGGACCTGACAGGGATTTAACCCTTTCCTTAACCTGAGGGAATCTCTCTGCTCTTACCACCAGGATGAGGACCCGTAGTTCTGGCCAGTGAGTCTCCGCCTCCACCTGCTGCGCCAGGCTGTCTTTACCATCTTCCCGCTCTCCCATCAGCCATTGGACGAAGCCGCCGTACATACTCCTGCAGGCGCTGCCGGAACCCTGCCGGGCGATCTCGGACAGCTCGCCCTCCACGCCGTACAGCTCGGCCAGTGTGTAGACTGAGAGACAGGAAACAATGTATCAGAGCCCAGCGAGAGGTCCCGGGACCTACAGACTGTGCAACTGTGCAAGAGGGAAGGACGGAGGTCAGATAGAAGACTGAAGGGAAGGACGGAGGTCAGATAGAAGACTGAAGGGGAGGACGGAGGTCAGATAGAAGACCGAAAGGAAGGATGGAGGTCAGATAGAAGACTGAAGGGGAGGACGGAGGTCAGATAGAAGACTGAAGGGAAGGACGGAGGTCAGATAGAAGACTGAAGGGGAGGACGGAGGTCAGATAGAAGACTGAAGGGGAGGACAGAGGTCAGATAGAAGACTGAAGGGGAGGACAGAGGTCAGATAGAAGACTGAAGGGGAGGACGGAGGTCAGATAGAAGACTGAAGGGAAGGACGGAGGTCAGATAGAAGACTGAAGGGAAGGACGGAGGTCAGATAGTTGGAACAGGAAGGGGCCGTCCCCAAACTGTTCCCACAAAGTTGGGAGCATGAAATTGTCCAAAATGTCTTGGTGTGCTGATGCCTTAAGAGTTCCCTTCACTGGAACTAAGGGGTGGAGCCCAACCCCTGAAAAACAACCCCCCTCCCCCAAACTTTACACTTGGCACAATGCAGTCAGGCAAGTACCGTTCTCCTGGCAACCGCCAAACCCAGACACGCCCATCGGATTGCCAGACAGAGAAGCGTGATTGGTCACTCCAGAGAACACGTCTCCACTTCTCCAGAGTCCAGTGGCGGCGCGCTTTACACCACGGCATCCCACGCTTTGCATTGCACTTGGTGATGTGCGGCTTGGATGCAACTGCTCGGCCATGGAGACCCGTTCCATGAAGCTCTCTACGCACTGTTGTTGTGCCAATCTGAAGGCCGCATGGAGTTTGGAGGTCTGTAGCTATTGTCTCTGCAGACAGTTGGCGACTTCTGCGCACTGTGCGCTTCACCATGCGCTGACCCCGCTCTGTCATGTGACGCGGCCGACCACTTCCTGGCTGAGTTGCTGTTGTTCCCAGTTTGTTATAATACCAGTAACAGGTGACCGCGGAATATTTAGTAGCCAGTCACGGAACACCTGAATCCAATGATTTGGAGGGGGAGGGGCCCAATACTTTTGGTAATATAGTATATATATATCATGAATCTGACATTCACCAAACATGCACTGCAGGTGAATCTTCTAGGTGCATGCGTTTTAAATGACAGTGGTTGATTCACCACCAGCGAATGTTTGGTGAAAGTCACATTCACGGCCTTATACATAGACCCCCCGATGTATCTGTCTATCCCTGTCATTGATGACTATCAGTCACATGCGCTCCGCTCACGTCCGCCATATTTTCGGAATCTCGGGGCGGAGTTCTCGGCATCTTTGGAGGAACTCTCCGTTTCCTTCTATTCTATAACCCAGGGGTCTCAAACCTCCGGCCCTCCAGCTGTGGTGGAACTACAAATCCCATGAGGCATTGCAAGATTCTCACAGCCACAGACATGACTCAAAAAGAGAGATGCATCATGGGATTTGTAGTTTCACCACAGCTGGAGGGCCGGAGGTTTGCTACCCAATCCGGAGATTTCCCGCCGTTTCCTCACCCAGACAAGCGTATCCCGCGGCCGAGGACGCCAGCCCCGCCGCGGTGGGGAAATTGTTGACGGAGCAAATGTGGACTTTGTAGTTTAGGTTCCTGGAGGCGCCGTCTTCGCTGCCGCTGCTCCGCCTCTTCCTGGCCAGGCGGCGAACTGGGAGGGGCCAGAAAAGAGAGAAAGGTTACAACGGGGACAACCCGAGGAGAGGGAAGTGTACAGGAAGTGAGGAATCAAAAAAATTAAAATCAACCAAAACGACATTCAATTTGAAATTTAAATAAATAACATTTTGGGGGTGAAGAGGGCGGAGTTAAAAATTCCTCCGCAGTCCGGGTGGCAATGGATGCGGACGTATTGTTGGTCGCACACATAACTCACTTTCTCGCAGGCAGGACTGCAGGCGCGGGTGGTTGATGTCGTCTTCCTTCCCGTTCAGCCAGATACGGTCTTCGGTGATGTCTCGGCTGGTGGCGATGCTGGTCGTGGTTTTTAACTGTCGCAAACGTGAAATAAACGTCTCAGTTCAGATTCATGTACCCAGGGAGAGATCTGCCTCCTCCTGCCTGCAGCAGACTGATCACTGGGGGAGGGGAGACTGAGGAAATGCTTCCTCCTGCCTGCAGCAGACTGATCACTGGGGGAGGGGAGACTGAGCAAATGCTTCCTCCTGCCTGCAGCAGACTGATCACTGTGGGGAGGGGAGACTGAGGAAATGTTTCCTCCTGCCTGCAGCAGACTGATCACCGGGGGAGGGGAGACTGAGGGAAATTCTTCCTCTTGCCTGCAGCAGACTGATCACTGGGGGAGGGGAGACTGAGGAAATGCTTCCTCCTGTCTGCAGCAGACTGATCACTGGGGGAGGGGAGACTGAGCAAATGCTTCCTCCTGCCTGCAGCAGACTGATCACTGTGGGGAGGGGAGACTGAGGAAATGTTTCCTCCTGCCTGCAGCAGACTGATCACCGGGGGAGGGGAGACTGAGGGGGGTCCTCTGTCCAAGGTGGGCAGTATACAGAGACTTGATGTCTGCTCTGATTTGGAGAGCTCCGCCCATCAGTGTACCAACCAATGAGCTTCCAGCTTTTGTGTTGTCTGCACTGATTGGTGATTGGCAGGTAGGTAATGCAGACTGGAGATCTATAGCCTATGTACTGTGGTAGGAAGGTGTCTGCATTGCATTATGGGATGCATGGGGGAGGGGCTTAAATGATTTCTGACTAACTGGAAGTAGATTTGGATCCTGCACACATCCCGAGACCCCCAGAATGTTCCAGAGGGGGGCTATGATGAAGCGATGCTACCTATGTACTAGCCGGGCCTCCTACCATACACTGTGCTGCACTTTCCAATGACAGGTTCTCTTGAATTTGGCTGAACTTGGAGAAGAACATGACAGACCTGATCCTGGTGCAGCGTGACGCTGAGGGAGGAGTTGATGGGGAGGATGAGCTCCTCGTTCCGCTTCCCCCCTGGAAGAGAAATTAAAGGGTCATTCTACAGGAGGGACCGAATTCTGATTGGCTGTGACTCTCCTAAATGGCTTTTGGCTTTGTGGAAGTACTCTGAGCCCTCCCACGGGATAGAAGCCTCCAAAATTCTGGGAACACCTGATGTGGAGCCTGTGATTCCGCAAGTCAGGGATCCCCTACTCTATCAAAGCCTAATAGTATAACGGCGATGTTGACGGGCGCTGTGCACGTCACTTTCTTCATCTTTAGACGGCGGACTCAGCAGGCGGGACTCTGGAAGAGGAGACAGTAAGAGGGTGACAACGTGGCGGGAGACCGAACAGCGCCGATCCGCCAGGACAGATCTGAGGATGAGGCAGAATGGAGGATCATGGGGGAAATGTCGGAGATCCTGCTGATATAATCTGTATATGTGTGACACCGCGGGGACAATGTATCACAGCGACACCGACCAATGCAAAGCATCACACAGAGTATACACTGTATACAGAACAATGACATCACAGTATACGGGGATAGCTCAGGCTGTATATACCACGCAGGATACATTGTATCCGAGTGCAGACCACCCACACTGTGCCGAGATCTATATGGAAGGATACAATGTACCACCTGACCAGTATCAGAGATCTATCATATACAATGTATCAGTATTAGAGATATGTCATATACAATGTATCAGTATTAGAGATCTATCATATACAATGTATCAGTATGGAGATCTGTCATATACAATGTATCAGTATTAGAGATCTATCATATACAATGTATCAGTATTAGAGATCTATCATGTACAATGTATCAGTATGAGAGAGCTGTCATATACAATGTATCAGTATTAGAGATCTATCATATACAATGTATCAGTATTAGAGATAGGTCATATACAATGTATCAGTATTAGAGATCTATCATATACAATGTATCAGTATTAGAGATATGTCATATACAATGTATCAGTATGGAGATCTATCATATACAATGTATTAGTATGGAGATCTGTCATATACAATGTATCAGTATGGAGATCTATCATATACAATGTATCAGTATTAGAGATCTATCATATACAATGTATCAGTATTAGAGATATGTCATATACAATGTATCAGTATTAGAGATATGTCATATACAATGTATCAGTATTAGAGATCTATCATGTACAATGTATCAGTATTAGAGATATGTCATATACAATGTATCAGTATTAGAGATATATCATATACAATGTATCAGTATTAGAGATATGTCATATACAATGTATCAGTATTAGATAGATGTCATATACAATGTATCAGTATGGAGATCTGTCATATACAACGTATCAGTATTAGAGATCTATCATATACAACGTATCAGTATCGGTGTGTGATGTCTCACCTGCTCTGTGTTGATTCTCCCTCTGTAGTCACTCTCCACTCACTCTCACCTCTCCTGGTGGCTCCGCCCTCATCCTATGCTGGACATCCAGCCTCAGCCAATCCCTGCTGACACCCCGCCTCCGCCCCGCCCTCACCTCATTTCATCTCCCAATAAAGCTCATCGGAAGATTGAAGCATGAGAGAAAACAAATCCGCCCGGAACCTTAAGACGGTGTATGAGTTTCCGCCGGAACCCTTTCACTGTTACACTACAACAGTATATTAAGGGGAAGACATTAAAGGATGCAAACGGTAGTATTTGTGGATGACAGTACCTAGGAGATGATAACTACACTGCCAGAGTCACCTGGGGCTGCATTGCTCTCTCTACATGTATATAGTAACATATACGACAGTGCTGTACAAATAAAGTGTATTAAGCCAATCACACCAGACTCTGTACCAGACACAGTCACATAATAATAATAATAATAATAATTATTATTATTATGATTCTATGACCTGATGTGTGAACTTCTTCTGATCTCTAAACTGTCATTATCTGATCTCACCAGCAGATGGCGCCCCGGGTCCTCTGTATTTGTGTATATGACATTGTTACCTCCGGCTGTCATTTGCTTCCTGTTGAGGAAACATTGTGATGTGGACTCAGCTTTACTGATGATGAAAATCATTGTAATTACAATAAACAATTCAATAAATATCAGTGATAACAGACATTTTGATCATTTATTGATCAGTTATTTGCAACCAAAATATTTCCAGTATATATATAGCTCTGACTTCACATTGTACATAGAGAGATACATTCATACCCTTACCGCAATCTAATCCCCCCCACACACACTTAGGGGGTCACACACCCACGGTGATTGGCTCCGTCTATAAACCTATCAGAAGGTATTTGGGTTATCACGGCTCATTCTTGATCAAAGCAGCAGAATTTGGGGGCTCGTTCACATTGGATGTCTCTCCATGAAGTCCACAGACCGTGACACACGAGATGTTTGTATTGTGGTCGGGCTGTCGGGTTTGGTGACATCAGTAAAGCTCACCACATGTGTTACAATCTCCTTTAGATCTTCCAACAATCTTGAAGTGCAAGGGCCCTGATTGGATAGATTTGGGAGGTCCTCGTGTTAGTAATCTAAAGTTGATGGTACAAAGATTGTAACGCGTATGGTGAACTTAAGCATGACAGTCAGAGATCAGTTCCTCCGTCCTGTGTCTTAAAGGAGAAGAGAACCAATAACAGGAGGTAATTCTTTATATATCCGAAGTTGTTCTGCTTTTAGTGCCAATCATAAATTCATCGTTATGTTTCCTTCCTGTATCTGACCTCAGTCCTTCCCTTCAGTCTTACATCTGACCTCCGTCCTTCCCTTCAGTCTTACATCTGACCTCCATCGTTCCCTTCAGTCTTCTATCTGACCTCCGTCCTTCCCTTTAGTCTTCTATCTGACCTCCGTCCTTCCCTTCAGTCTTCTATCATCTGACCTCCGGCCTTCCCTTCAGTCTTCTATCTGACCTCCGTCCTCCCCTTCAGTCTTCTATCATCTGACCTCCGGCCTTCCCTTCAGTCTTGCACAGTTGTACCGGCTCCTCTCTTGGACTGAAATGTCTTCCTCTGATATCACTGAATACTCTGAGTGTCATGAAGAATCCATGTCACTGTAGCACCTTGTTGTACTTTTTATGGCAACAATTTAAAGGAGAACTATGGGGTTAAGTCTTTTCCCCATAGTTCTCCTTAGGGTAACGGGAGGACACAAACTAGCGTCCTCCCGTCACCCTAGGCTCAGTATATGGCGAGCTACAGCTTGCGGTATACATAGATGCCGCAGCTGAAGCGGATCCCGACAATTATGTCTGGATCCGCCCAGCTGCGTGAGTGACAGCTGGCTCTGCCTATCTAGAGGCAGAGCCAGCTGTACCCGCCCCCTCCCCCGTCCGTTCCGCCAGTCAGCGCTGGCGGATCGTAGCTGGGAGGGGGGAATCCAGCCCCTCCCCTGTCACCGCAGGAACGCCGGTATGTGTTCGCTCACCTCCCGATCTACTGAGCCGACCTGTGACAGTCTCATTGTCACAGGT